CAGGCTGGTTTCGAACTCCTGAGCTCAAACAATCCGCCCACCTTGGCCTCCCAGAGAGCTAGGATTACAGGCATGAGCCACTGCGCCCGGCCCCTTTACCCATTTTTAATTGGGTTATTTTTCTTTTTATTATTGAGTTGTAAGCTTGTCCTATTTATTTTTGTTCCTTCTTTTCTGTCCTCTTTTGGATTACTTAAATTTTTAAGGAGTTTTTTTTGGACAAAATTACATACATTTAAGGTGTACAACATGATATTTATATACACGCACACACTGTGAAATGTTTACCACAATAAATCTAATTAACATATCCATCACCTCACATAGTTACCCTTTTGTGTGTGGTGAGAATACTTAAGATCTACTCTATTAGCAAATGTCAGGTGTACAATACATTATTATTAATTATAGTCACCATGCTATACATTAGGTCTCTAAAATTTATTCATCTTATACCTGAAAGCTTATACCCTTTAACCAACATCTCTCCATTTCTCCCCAACCCCTAGCCCCTGGTAACTATCTCTCCACTCTCTACTTCTAAGTTCAGCTTTTTCAGATTCCACATATAAGTGAAATCACACAGTACTTGTCTATACCTAATTTGTGAAAGTTTTTGTCGTGAAGCAGTGTTGAATTTTGTCAAACATCTCTTCTCCATCTATTGCAATGATCATATAGTTCTTGTTCTTCATTCTGTTAATGTGATGTATCACATTTATTGATTTGAGTATATTGAACCATCCTTGAATCCCAGGGGAAAACCTCACTTGATCATAGTATATAATCCTTTTAATGTTCTTTCAAATTAGGTTTGCTAGTATTTTGTTGGGGAGTTTTGAATTTTTTTTAGAATTCTGGTGTTTTACTTGAATAATCATGGTGTTAACAAAATTTTATCCTATTGAAATGGTGTATTACATAAATTGAGTTTGGGATGTTAAATCAACCATGTGCTACTGGAATAAATCCTGCTTTTTGTTACTAGATTACTAATTTTGAGTCTATATTCATAAGAGATGTTGATCTGTAGTTTTCTTTTCTTCTAATATCCTTGTCTGGTTTTGGTATCAGGATAACACTGGCCTCATAGGATGACTTATGGATCATTTGTTCTTCTATTTTTAGTGGTGACTGAATAATTGATGTTAATTTTTCCTTAAATATTTGGTCAAATTTATTATTGAAGGCCACAGAGCAAGGGTATTGCTTTCTGGGTAGTTCTTGATTACCACAGAATTCTATTTTATGCAAAAAATAAAAAGATGTGTAGTTTAAAAGCTAGATAGATAAATTGTCCCACAGATCACTGCGGCTCTGTTTTTTATTAAATCTTTTTCTTATTGTATTTCAGATTGGGTAATTTGTAGTGCTCTGTCTTCAATTTCACTGACTCTTACGTCATCTCCAATTTTCTGTTAAGCTCATCAGTGAATTTTCTATTTCAGATATTCAGTTTTAGAATTTCCATTTGTTCTTTTTTATAGTTTCTCTTTCTCTGCTGAGAATTCCTATTTGCTCATTCATTACTGCCATATTTTTCTTTACATCCTTTAGCATAGTGATTATTATGTTATATTATTACTGCCTTAAAATCTTCATATACTAATTTCAAAATCTGAGTCATCTCATGGTTAGTGTCCATTGACATATTAATATTATATTAATATTTTTGTTGAATATAAGTCACATTTGCCTGCTTTTCATTTTACTAAGTACATTTGGATTGTATCCTGATGTCACACCTTATACATTACAGAAACCATATTCTGCTGTGCTCCTCTGAAGAGAGTTGATTTTTTTGTTGTCGTTTTAGTAGACTGTAAATTTTGCTGAATTAAAACTGTAAACTTTGTCTCCTCTATGATGGGAGAGAGCTGAAATCTCTGTTCAGTACTTTTAGCCTTATCTGAACTACATATGTAGTTCAGGAACCAGCTAGAGATTTAGGCGGAATTTATTCGTAGAGTGTAGGCTTCTCCTCTGTTGCTTTCTCCTTTCCTGAATTTCCCCCTTTACTTTCCAGCTGCTGCGGTAACTCTGAACTCTAGCTGAGGTAGAACTGTCCTCTAATTCTTCAAAATAATAAGACTACAGGTTTTTATCCAAGTTCTAGTTGCCTTGGATAGTACCAACTAGGTCCTGCCTTCAGATGAAAAGTGGTAAAAATGTGAGCTTCACTCAGTGTCAGTTCCCTTCCAGTTTCTGCCTGCTTTAGACTACAGTACCTTCAGATAGTCATTTTATATATTTTGTTCAGAGTCATAAATGTTATCTACAGGAGAACTGGTCCAATAGGAGCTATTGCCAGAAGCAAAATTCCATTCTGTTTTATATATTAATATTTTTATCTTTTTTATCTCCTAGTATTCTATTAATAACTCTGATCCACAGATGAATTTTCCCTCCCCATCTCCTCACTTGAAACATTTTATGCATGTTTACTGTCATTTTAATAGGATTTGGAAGGGAGAGCCAATATATGTGTTTTCTGCTATCTTGAACCAGAAGCCAGAATATAATGTGAAAGAAATTAATTATAATCATCATTTGAAACATAGATTAATCTAATAAAAGTAAAAGCTGAGATTTTGGAGAAAGGGAGAGAGTTTTGATGGAAAAATATGCTAAGTTTCTCATGTTAATAGGGGAATTGTGATGCTATCTTTTTTAATTGATAGAAAAAATAAAGATTAAA